GATCTCTCATCAACACACCATCTCCTTTCCTTATCAGTCCTTTCAAAGAACCAACTTTGTGACTTTCTGTATGTGTTCGTTGTATTAATTTCTGCTTTTTACATTATTTTCTTCCTTTTTAATTTACTTGTCTTTCTAATTTCTCGCGTTATGTTTTGCACTATTGGTTTTGGGCTTTTTAAGATTTCCTACGCACTTCGCTATGACTGTCGATCCCTTTAAGAGCCGTTTTAACTGCAGCCTGTTACTATTCTGCTGAGCATATTTTCTAATATTTAGTTGATGTATGTCTCGATTGTTGATAGCTTCTGAATTCCTAAACATATGGGTGTTTTTCAGGATATCTCGCGCTGCCTTTTTTTTTTAAGCTTCAGTGCATTGTGGTTAAAGAACACACTCGACCGACCCTTTCTCTCTGGCCCAGCGTGCGGGCGAAGTTTGACACGCTCGTGTGTCTGCAGAGGTGGGACCGCAGGCGGTGGGGGCGGCCGTGCCGGTTCACTGAGTGTGTTCAGCGTGTTCTTCGAACCTCCCGTGTTTGCTTGGCAAACTACAGAGCTCAGCCCAGTCTGCCTTGCCGCCTGATTCTCTGAATAAGGTTTATGGGCTCACAGCCACACCCGGTCACGTATATGACTGTCTGTGGCTGTTTCCCACTGCGACAGACTTGAGCAGTTGCGATAGAGACCATTTGGCCTGAAAAATCTCCAATACTGACGATCTGGCCCTTTCTAGAAAGTGCTTTCCGACGCTCGTGTCCTTGCTGGTTTCTTGTATCCACCTGTCAGTTACCGAGAAGGGTCCGTTAGAATCTCCAGTTACCGCTGTGGATTTGCCTATTTATTTATTTCTGCACTTGTATCAGTTTTGCTTTATATGTTGGAGCTATGTCATTACTGACAGTTTTTAAGTTGTATCTTCCTTTGCACGAGGCATCTGTCGTCATGAATGTTCTATCTCTTCTGGTGCCTTTAGCCTTTAAGTCTGCTTTGTCTGAAATTCACAGAGTTGAAGCGGTTCTGTTTGGTTAGTATTTGCCCCGTGCATCTCTTTGATTTTTAACCTCTCTGTATCTTTACGTCTTAGGTGTGCCTCACAAACAGCATATGATTAAAGTTTTTTTTAGTCGAAGTTTGACAAGTTTTTTTAAGTCTGACAAAAAAAGTTTTTTAGCGAGAGCCTTTATCTCGTTTTCTTTAAATGTAATCACTTATCGATAGATTTGGGTTTAAATCCATCGTCTCATTATCTGCTGTGGTTTTCTCCTGTCCTTCTTTCTTGCCCTTTTTGAGTCGGTGATTGGTCCTCGGGAGCCTCGAGGCTCTTTCTGTTCTTTGACAGCTTCCCCAGAAATTGCAACATTCTTCTCCCAGATCTAAAACTAACGAGTACCGCCCTCTTTGGGGGTGATCCAAGACCTGAGACCACCGTGACCCCCTTGCAGGCCACACGTCGTTCAAGTGTAATTTTTTAACCTGGCGACCGCGTTTTTGGTGTCCGTTTTGGTTTTGGACTCGCAGGCACGTTCGCCACTTTCTCTGGTCTCTGGATCTCTGGCTTCCCGTCCGAGATCACCTTTTCCCGCTTGGAGTGTCCGTGCGTTAGCGATGCCTCTGGTTCGGTGCCGCTGGTGGCAGACCCCACCCCCGCTGTTTGCCCGGGCCGTTTTCAGTGCCCCCGGCCCTGTCAGCGACGCGTGTGCTGGTCGGCGACATCCAGGTCTGAAGGCCCTTCTGGCACGAGCTGGTGCACGGTCCCTGACGTCCTTTGAATGCTAAGAAGTCACTGTCAGGCCGTCTCTCCTTTGAAGGTAACCTGCCTTTTCTCTGGCTGTTGTTAAGATCAAAATGAAAAACCTTTGTGCTTCAAAAGACGCCATCAAGAAAGAGAAAAGACAAACCACGGATGGGAGAAAATATTTGCAAATCGCGTATCGGACAAGGGGCTTGTGTCCAGAACGTAGAAAGATCTCTGGCAAGTCTGAGCTGGTTGTGACCGAGGCCTTGGGAAGGGACAGCTGACTGAGAAGAGGAAGGCCCGCCACCTGCTGCCACGCGTGCTCAGCCACGTGAACGAGACGCCGCCGTGGTCCGAGACGCGCCTTCCTGCTTCGTGCTGTGCTGCCCCGTCTGGACTGTCACCCGCCCCCGCCTGCCCACCCGCCGGAGACGCCTGGGCATGACCTCGTCCATGCAGCTGCTTCTGCTCCAGCCCTGGGCAGGGTTGGCAGAAGGGGGGACTTGAAGGGATGAGCCGTTCGTGACCGAGTGTCAGTGATGTTCTCGGTCTTCCAGAAAGAATCGGAAAGAGGTAATTAGCTGAGGAGCAGAACGGCCTTAAGGGTCTCAAGCTGTTTTTAGCACACTGGGCCTCGTCTGGCACGGCCCTCGTGTGGTCTGCGCTGAGGGGCCGCAGGCCGGGCATCCTGGGCCAGCATGGGCTGGACACCGTCCTAGGCGGCATCCTCACATAGCAAATGTGCTTTTAATGAGATGCTTTCATCTAGAGTAAGAGATCTGAAAGGAGAAAGAAAAGGTAAATAAATGCTTTTCAAGAGGTGGCTGTAGATAAGCTGTGCAGTAGACAGGGCTTCGCTGGCGGCCGACGCTCAGCGATTCCGACGACACGTGTCAGTCAAACCCATTAGCGATGCCACTTGGATCGTTGAAACATCCGATGAAAACCGTGAGACTCCAGCGTCCACTTCTGGCCGTGACGGGATGACAGGCACCGAACTTCACGTCCTGCCTTGAGCAACTGGCAAACCAGATACAAAGGCATGAGGCTACAGATTTTAGGTGCTGCACAGGGGGAGCGCTGGCCGGTGGTCCCGTGAGACGGACCGGGGACAGGGAGCCCCTGGCCTCCCAGCTCCTCACCCGCAGCGTCCAGCTGAGCAAGGGGAGAGGGGGCCCAAGACCAGTGGAGATGGTTTGGCGCTGAGGGACTCCCCAAAGGCTGGAACTTGTGGAGAGGACGGGTCGAGGGGCAGCCCCAGGGGCTGCGGACGGGGCCGCTCTGGTCTTCGGCTGAGTGTTGATCTGTGCACGAGTGTGCACGAGTGTGCAAATACCACCAGCGTCAGGGGAGAAGCACGGGGACGGAAGAGGCAGAACACCCGCGGTTCCCACAGGGCTGGGAACGAAGTCCGCATTCTCACCGGCCAGATGGAAAGACCTCGCAATTCAGAGGGGGCGGGTGGGCCCTCGGAAGGCCGGTTTCCCAGGTGCCAGCCTGTTCAGGACCCGCCTAACCAGAGTTCACAGCAAGTCCTGAAAGCATCAAACTGATTCTAAGTAAGTTAACTACCGCCCCCAACGAAGCCTGACGACACCTGAAGGACTGCGGTGCATCCACAATGTCCAGGACCCTTACACATGAGGGAAAATCTAACCCAGGGGAGGAGAAAAATCAGTCATTAGACACAGGTCCAGGTGGGTCCATATTTGTCCAGGTGATGGAATTAGCAGACGAGGATGTTAAAAACGTCTATTATAAACATGCTCCCTGTGTTCAATGACAGAGAAAATATGAACAAAATGAGGAGAAAATGGAAGACGCAAAAAGACCCAAATTTGTCTCCTAGAGAGGAAAGTCCGCTGGATGGGACTCCTAATAGCTTAGATGTTGCAGAGACAAGATCAGTATTCTTGAAGACATAGCCCTAGAAACTTTCTAAGATGAAACAGAAAAAAGGAAAAAAAATAAAAAATGAGCAGAGCATTAGCAGGACCATCGCAGGGAGAATGACACATGGGATATTGAATTCCAGAAAGGAGGTGTGTGT